CTGAGCACCTTTGATTCACTCAGCCCTTCAGCTTTATGTATTACATACCGCAATTGCCCATCTAAGTACTCAGATGAGCCCAGGGACATAGAAACGGAAATTGACATTGACAACGTGTGATTCGTTCCAAGATCCTGCCCGCGAGCTGTTGACAAACCCTAAATTTGCATTTTTGCACGCTGGATCGACCATGGGATCCAACTCAAATGAAACTAGGGCATCTGATACCAGCACACTAGATTGACAAATTGGCCTGCTTTTCGCCTATCAAACGCTGAACCATCACTGTTAAATGGCGTGAACCTGTCTCAAACCAGGGGGCACGAGTTGACACCTTTTGGCTGCATCCCGATCCTTTCTGCAAGCGGTCTTTCTGTCGCCTTCAGAGATCGACGTTCTCTTTTTCAACTGTAATCTCTGACCTGAAACCATACTTTCCCCCCCCTCTTCGTTTCGCATCCGTATCCCCCCCCCCCTCCTCACCAACTTTCTTTTCGAGAACCGCTTTCAGGCAACAGAGAACAAGATAAAACTTTATTGCATCTGAACTCTCTCTTATGAAGTAAAGTCCTTTCAAGCGTGTCCAAGCTTCCGCTGAGCGCTTGCCGCCTCGTACATCTCACCCCCTCCCACTGCAGGCCTGCTTTCTTTGTCTACTGTCTCTATCCCTGGGCCCAATTTCGTGTACTGACGCGTTTCTTTCAGACGGTTGAGCTTTCTTACTACTGGAGGGCCTGCCAACTAAGTGCCCCCACGACCGTACTCATTGAGGTGGAATTCACTCCTGTAGTAGTCACAGGTAAAACCCTGCAAAATGGGGCCTCTCGGTCGACTATTATATCAGCCGTCTGTGTGAATCGTTCTAGCCATTCGATTTTCGATGACTCTTTAAATCCACTACTATTTCACAGAGGCGACGCACAGTAAGTTTACTTTCTATACTCGTATTCAGAATTAGCCTCTCCTTACAGTTAATATTAATGAGGACCGTGTTTCGGCTTTTATACATTTGTAACTATATGATCTTATGAGACACTGTCATGGCCACTTACGAATCGTAAAATTTAAGCATTTGTTGACGCGGTTTTAAGCCATGCCACGCGGTCCACTTCTGAGGCGGCATTTTGTGAGCTGTATTTGTCAGGAGAACACCAGTGGACATCGAAATTGTATTTCCATAATAGTGCACATCTTCCGGGTTAATAACTATCGGCGGAGGTGAAAACGAAAATTATGCTGAAATAGGTGAACGAATTAATGAGACCTCTTAGAGCTGAAAGCCGCCTTTCCTTCCATTGAAACGTTTAAAGGGTAGTAAACTGCGAAAAAAAATGAGTGTGAGTGGCAAATGCGGTTGAATCTAAGCGTGCTTGGAACTTAATGAAAGCCGAGCACTAATTACATAGCGATTTCCTCCGTGGGTGAGGTTTGTCCAACTGACTGCTATCATACCATCGCACCACGCGTGAAACGGCTGTGGATTGTGTCATTTTCTGATAAGTATTAAAACCTCAGTTACGTTTTCATTCTTATAATGCAGTCGATGTTTGCAAATTTTTTCGACCTGCACAACCATTGCACTACCGACTACCCTAGTTATCTCTCATTTTCGTCCCTTATATGAACTGATTATCCAATGCATCATCTCAAAACAAGAAGGGGATGCAAAGTAGATACCAAAAATTGAGACGTTGAGCATATATTTTGATGCATTTTGTCTCACATGGAAAAGCTTTCTCGGACGGATATGTAATAGTGATTATCATGGGGCGCGGTTTCCGTTTGATGCACGAGAGACTGTATTCTGCGTCTTGGTTGACAGTGTGCCCAGTCTCCTGTACCCGTCACAAACAAGGCGTAAAGATCCCTACCGAGTTCCACGCCTTCGTATGTTCGATTGGATACCAGTGTCGCAACACTCCGTTACTGATGCAAGTATTATTGCAGTTAGTTAGCCATACTGTAAGCATTGGTAGAGTAGCATTGGCAGCCGTGGTGGCGGTGATAGTAGTAGTAGTACTAATAGTAGGATTATTAGAACAGATGCACATTTGGAGGAGGAGGAGGAGGAGGAGGAGGAGGAGGAGGAGGAGAATAGTGCTCTGATGTAAGCAGTCATTATTAGGAGTGGTTTTGGTGTGTTTACATGAGGTCCTGTCTGGCGTCCGCAGGTGTACCGAGGAGGCTTTAAAATTGTGCAACTTATTGCGGGGCAACCTCGGTGCTTCATAAGTGTTGTGGTATCTCTTCAAGCACACGTGAAGTGCACTCGTGAACGTCCTTCATAGAAATTAAGAAACATTCGAATCAAGGGAAACTCTGTGGGTCTCAGACGGCCTGAATTGACCAGCCTTTTCTGAGCTGGAACATTAAGCCCTTTCAAAAGCCAAATAGCAGTTTGATTTAACTGCCCGTGTAGCGAGTGCAGAAAAAGCAAAGAAATATACTTTAATTTACATAACCTGAGGACACACTTTATGAAAAACCACCATTGATTAATTGGTAGCCGTAACCTAATTGGGACTGATGCAGGTAGCTGAAACTATTTACAGTAGCCCACTCCCATTTGGTCATCACACATTGGCGAGATGTTGACAATGTCTCTTGGTGCTCAGTATAAAAGTTCGTTATTTGAGGACGTACATGTAGAATTCAGTAGATGCCCCATTGTTTTGATGCCTGTTGTGTGTGGTGCAGTTGTAACGGAGTGGAGATGAATACTGAGTTGCACCCTAGTAGCTCCGATTTTGCTCTGCTCCGTCTCCATTCTGCTCGTCTGCTGCATGCCTGACCCTGGTCAGATCCAATCGCCGTGGCTTGAGAGGCTGCTGAATGACGCCTCAACTCAGTCCACGCAGTCAGCCCAGTTGCGTTTGATTGTGCGAAGTGGCAAACTGGTGGGCTGACAGCAAGGCTATAACGACTCCTTCTTAAAGTGACCTGTGGCGCTGTCACACACGTGAGGAGTAAGTGTTACGTAATGGGTAGTGACTTTCAGTCGCTGACCGACTGTTTATCCAGTTTTTAAAGGGCGATAGCCCACGCAAATGCAGGGCTCTGTGCTAGTCTTCTGGGCCCAAAGGTTTGCGAGCGTCTGCTATGCCATGCTCAGCAAACCGTGGCCCCCACAGCCCGGTCTGTACTGGTAGTTCGTCTGCACTTGATTCTCTGACGGTAGGTGGGCATGCGCTCCCGCTGGGTATGCAGGCCGTGCGCATGGTTGTACTGTCATCACAGTGGTTTCTATTGTCGTTATTATTGTCGTCGTTGGTCAAAACCCTGGTGAAGTGCTTGTTGTGGACCAGGTGTGTGGAGTGCGGCGCCAATGTGCGGGTACGCCCGCGCCATGCCCCTGCGACCTCTCCTACCTCCGGTCTTCTTTACTCTATCTTGACAACCGGTCCAGGTAGGGAAAAGGAGAGAGTGCGGCGAATGCTGCTTAATCTTGTTGGAGAGCACATAGTAGACATCGTCGGATGCCCCGGTCGAACTATATATTGGGCGATTTGCACATTTATACCCTTTCACCGGTTTTTGCGTTCTCTTTCCCCCCGCCTGGATATAGATGTCTATTTGTTGCAATAAGTCCAGAAGGTCGTAACAGGCCCAGTGGTTGACAAAATTGAAGGGACTGACTATGCATGCCACACATGACATAGCTCCCATTACATGGACCAAACTATTGTGAGTGCTGACTGGAGCTCACATTGTAGCAGTGACACGTTGGCCGGATTAAAAGGGTCATTGTAGCTTGCTTATCATTCCTATAAATAATCGAGTCACCCCTCTCTGTTGGCAATCTTCCCAGACACGAGTCCTACCGCTCCGTCATGGATTCAAGCACGTTAGAATAATTATAATGACGAATGCGCCGACAAACCATCCACTGTCTAGGATTGTCAACGACTGTAAAATGACACTGGACGTAGTAACTGAAGCAACGTGAATATTTGTGTCGAGACCTGTCATCACACCCATCCGATGTACAGTAGCGACCATGTGTTTGCGCGTACACAGTGCGGTCGGATTAGCGTGTTCCACGACACAACATGACTCCCTCAATAGTCCAGCAAATCTGCAAAGTGGCCCTGAGTGGACTAAAGGTGAATTTTAGCATGGGGTCGAGCGTTCAAATGCGAATGCTCTACCATTTGCTATCGTATTCATTTTGGTCTTTTAAAGATAGATTCGCGAGTGAGTTTTATAGGAGGATATGCACACTTGTACAACAAGCAGCATTACTAATAATTGTGTCCAGAATGCTCAACAAATTCACTATTAGTGAAACCTTATTGTCCATGCTAAAATGTGTGCAATTTGTTTGGTGTTAGTTGTACAAACCAGCCCCAATGCAGAATTATCACCTTAAAATGACCTATGATTGCACCTGTTTCGATTTCAAAATGCACAGCTACAGGAACGGGTCCCGGTTGGCTTGGAAAGAGTGACTGGAGGTCAAAAATTTTTTGGCCACCTGTTCGAGAACAAATACGGCACCCACAAACGGTATTCAGGTCAGTTAAGTCATGTTAAATGAACAAAACGGGTTGCCGCTCCAAACCAGTCCCCTTAATATATTCTAACTGGCCTAAACGAATAACTAAATGTATGCATCACTTTCTGTCGACTTTGCTCAACCAGTGTAGCCATTACTTATGCGTATATTACACAGGTATTAGAGACTTGTATGGTATTTAAATGTGGCCGACAAATGCTACTAACAGTGGCAAAGAGCAGACTGGGTATTACGGCCGTAGGAGTTGTCGGTAAGCGGTCATAGCACAGCCAAATGCTTTAAGGCTGGCTGTATGAACCAAGTCCCACTGTTCATTTATGTAGATGTGTACGGGCTATTATCTGGAATTTGAAGAAGAAGAAGAAGAATCGAGCACCGGAACAATTCGTTTATTATCCTGAGCTTTCAGACTCGTACAGGAGTCCATCGTCAGAGGTAGTGGCAGAAACAGGACAAGCGGCAGTTATAAGGCACGTAGACCCAATCATCGACCGACGTCGCACGACTGGAGGTGACTACGAAGGGCTCTGTACGCCGGCGCCAGATCGATAAATCGATTGACCGAGTTCTCATCCGAGGCCCAGGCTTCAATCAATTCTCGGCCTGTTTTGTTTCCGGCGTGGGCGACTATTTTGGTGGCTGCGAAGTCAAACTCGTGACCCATTTCGTAGGTGTGGGCAGCCACTTGTGACAATGCGTCGCCTCGCCGCACAGCCAGCTTATGTTCATGTATGCGCGATCCGAGCATGCGTCCAGTCTGTCCTGTGTAATTACAAGGACAATTTTGACACGGAATGCGATACACTACTCCAGATTGCCCTTCAGGTTTTAACCAGTCTTTGATCTTCATGACCCTGTTGCGCATGGTGGCTTTGGGGCGGTGTGCGATTCCAACCCCTAGCTCCGCAGCAATGCGCTCGGTCGCTTCTGAAACACCCTTGATGTATGGCAGAGCATGCCATATCGTCGGTGGCGTTGATGTTTGAGTTCTCTGGTGGCGACCGCGTAGGCAGCGACTTATGAATGCCCTCGGATAGCCATTTTGCACAAACTGGTCGCGGAGGTAACGGGCCTCACGCGCTCTGTCTTCCAGTTTGCTGCAATGAGTTTGGATCCTTTTGAAGAGCGTCTTCACACAGCTTCGTTTGTGAGCCACCGGATGGTTGCTGTGAAAACTGAGAAGCTGTGTGGTGTTCGTTGCCTTCCTATAAACCGTCGTTTCAAGTTCACCGTTAGGGTTTCGTCTGACGAGCACATCCAGGAAGGGCAACTGCTGCTCCTGTTCTTCTTCTCTCGTGAATTTTATATCCGGGAAGACTGCGTTGAGCAGGCTGTGAAAATGTTGCAGCATGTCCTTCTTTACGATGACGAACGTGTCGTCAACGTAACGTCGCCAAAACACCGGTTCATGTTGGAGGAAGGCAATCTTTTCCAACTCCTGTAGGACCAGTTCTGCCACCAAACCGGAGACCGGTGAGCCCATTGGGGTTCCCTTGATTTGTTCATAGGTCTCTCCCGCAAAAGTGAAGAAAGTTTGTTGGCAGAATTCAAACAGCCTCATGAGGTGTTCAATTTTGAGGGCATTCTGGGTCTCATCGTACGCCTCTTCAAGTCTCTGAAAGCTCAGGATAATAAACGAATTGTTCCGGTGCTCGATTCTTCTTCTTCTTCTTCAAATATGTATACACCTGGAACTCGAAATTTCGCCTTCATTATCTGGAATGTTTATTGGCATACAACAGTAAATTTACGAACATGGCTGATTGCTGTGCGGAATGCCGACGGTCCATTTTCCGGGAGCTACTGTAGCCGGACTTGATAGGAGCATCGGAATCGCAGATGACGTCGTGCTTTCAGGATTATGTAAGGCTTGAACCCTAAATTTCGCTACCGGTGGTTTTGAGCTTTTTGATTAATTGCTGGAATTCAGTCAGAGGTGATCATTAGAGTCTTTATTAGCTCTTCCAGCAATTAAATATCAGGACCTCAAATCCTCACGCATTTAAATATGTACATATAGCAGCGAGGAGGGACGACAGAGAATGCGGTTACGGTACTGTTTCGGGCTTATTTGGCCTTTATTCAGCCAATCACAACCCTGACCAGCAGCTGAGACCAGAAACACAAACATCCGCACAGACGTTAAATGTTAAATGCACATCTTACTAAAAGTTTGCCAGTAACATATTTGTTCACGGATAACGTTTTACTTTGCGGGACTGCGGGTGCGGCAGGCGGTCTTTTCAAAGTACACATGAAATTTTAAGTGTAATTATATACAATCAGTGTAAAGTGCAATTATTTGTGTAGTTTGAGAGGCAAAATTTCATTAAACATCAGGGATGTGTAACATAGGGATGAATTCAAGAAAGGAAATTTATGGCTGATCGCAGATGGTCCTGCAGTGAGAGTCGTCGTTTATCAAAGATCAAACGATTCAGCTGCCTTTTGGATACAGCGATTGCATCAGATGTCACCAGTTCATTTGGGAATGAGTTTCACGGTCGAACAACACGCTGTCCGAAGGAAAATTCTGATGGTCTAGGCGTGTACGCTCCCGCTTGACTTTGTACGCATGACCGCGCAGGTGACTCATGGTCGTCAATTCCAAGAAGTCTTCAGATTTGAGCGAATATTCATGCCCTTGGATAATGCAGAATGTCCATAACAGGTGGGCATCACTCATCATCCGGCGGCTACCATGCGTAGCAGAATCATGAAAATGAAGGATCGGCCGGACGCAGGTGAGCAGTCGGCCGTAGTCTATCAAATCCCGTGCCATAACTGTCCTTGCTACTACACAGGCCAAACAGGACGACGTATCAGCTCACGAATACTTGAGCACAAACGGGCCGTTCGGAGAGGCGACCCACTATCTCAAGTCACCACTAACACGCTGAAGGAAGGCCATGAGTTCGACTTCGCCAGCACGCGGATATTGGCGCGAGCCGGCAACAAGACGGGGCGAGAACTGTTGGAGGTGTGGGTGTCGGACACCAACTCTGTCAATAGACACATTGATTTGCCTGCTTGCTATCACGCACTTCGCCCACGCAGCCAGATGACGCAGCTCAAACCGCCGCGAAGTACAAACGGCGTCACCACTCCGAGGACCATTGTAGGCCAGACAGCACAAATCAGACCCAGTCTCGGGCGTAGTCCCCCCATCACAGCTCAACGATATAAATGTTCACACGTTGCTGCACTCCAGCAGTCTCTGATTATGCACTCCAGTTCGAGTTCGTGAGCTAAGGCCAATAAATTTACCGTCCCAGTGATTATGTCTTCGTCTTCTTTTAAACAAGCACCTCTGATGCGCATATTTTCTTCCATTTTTGATCATTACCATTTTTAATCACTCATGCTGCACTTTGCTCCATATCAAACAAAAAAGCACCCCATTACTCGCAAATAGCAATAAGCCCTTAAAAGCCTATTTAAAAAACCTTCGGCAAGGGGAGAAGTGAAGTCGTAAAAAATACTCGATAAACTGGTAGAAGGAATGCATGCGTCTGTTAATGATACAGGACGCTGGTACAGTACTTTTATCTTTCATTATAATCTTGCATTTGCTGTATTCCTCCTCTTTCCCCGCTTCGCATTTACATATTACCTCGTACGCGGATGAATCTGTCGTTACTTTCCACTTTGCCCGACACCACCTGTTACTCACAGCACTTAATCCCTATTGGTTACGAACTACCTTAGGCTCTGACCCTCCGTAAATTAACCAATGAGGACTTATTCAGTTTCCTTACTATTTTACTTTTTACTAATGGTTTTAATTGTTCTTTTGAATTACGCGAGTATTTTCATTGCCTATTGCACCATAGACAAAGCTTTATTTCAGTTTTATAACTTTTTTCAATTTCAATCCCTCCCCTGCCATTACCCGTTGTGAGGCCCCACTCATGTAACCTCCATCACTACCATTCCCGTAGGACCCGGCCTACCAGTTTCGATCTTCTTAACCCGCACATATACTTAATTATTGCCAATGCATTTGTCCTGGAACTGGCTGCACTCCAAACGAGGATTCATCTACTTTTCTTACCTGAAAAACCACATTAGTTTTCATTCTTACAACTTCTACTGCACGTACTCTGCCTTTTACTCCTTACATTTCTGTCAGTTTGTCCGCATTACTAGAGATGTATATACCCACTTAATGACATGTCCTTGTTTATTCTCGTCTTCTGCTGGTATCGTGTATTTTATTCTAGCTACTGGCGCAGTTCTATATTTTACAACTATGAGACAATTTACCAATAGCATCTTCAATGATAATATCCATGCTTCCACTGTCAAGGGAGTCTTTTAACCCGATCCGGTGTACTTTTCCTCCTATCTCCGGCAGCTTTTCCTCGCATCAACGACCAGTAGTTCATAAGGAAGACTACTTTTGCTATGTATCCAGAGTAAATCCGAAAGCTGAGGTCGGGTATGCTACCACAGTAGTCATATGCATGTTTCGCCCGTAAATGACTGGCGGTATTTATATCTGTACGCAAGCCAAGGGGAATGGAGGATCTTTTATTGAAAGTCAACAATACAATCACCAAAATAAAACGTACTGCTATGTTACAGACTCTTTTGGAAGTTGGTCGGATGATTTGTCCAAGTAATAGACATTTATCTCCTAAAATGGGCTTAAATCAAGATTGAATGTTTAGCAGGACTGGCAGATCTGGATGATAATTAAATTGCAATGGTGCTTGATGTAGCGGGGTTGATTCTTGAGCCGAAGGTGTATGTGCAAATGAGAAGAAAATGATCATTACTCTGATGAGAGGCTGTGGGTAAATGGGGAATCATCGTGAACTGCCTATGTGTGTTGGTCGTTGAGGGAACTCGACACCGCATTCTTCGCGTAGTCATTGCTTCTGATAGTTTGTCCGTCCACTTTGGCGACGTCCACCGTGTGCTCCACGGTAAAGGCGAGCAGGGACGGTGAATTAGGACTGAATTAGTTTGTAATGGTGGCATACTTGCGCAGCATCTACCACGCTCTCTATTCCCCAAGCTCCGTCGGGACCCGACGTCAAGACAGAGTCATATGCATGTTTCGCCCGTAAATAACTGGCGGTATTTATATCTGCACGCAAGCCAAGGGGAATGGAGGATCTTTTATTGAAAGTCAACAATACAATCTCCAAAATAAAACGTACTGCTATGTTACAGACTCTTTTGGAAGTTGGTCGGATGATTTGTCCAAGTAATAGATATTTATCTCCTAGTATGGGCTTAAATCAAGATTGAATGTATCAATAGCCCCCTCCAACTGTTTAGCAGGACTGGCAGATCTGGATGATAATTGAATTTCAATGGTGCTTGATGTAGCGGGGTTGATTCTTAAGCCGAAGGTGTATGTGCAAATGAGAAGAAAATGATCATTACTCTGATGAGAGGCTGTGGGTAAATGGGGAATCATCGTGAACTGCCTATGTGTGTTGGTCGTTGAGGGAACTCGACACCGCATTCTTCGCGTAGTCATTGCTTCTGATAGTTTGTCCGTCCACTTTGACGACGTCCACCGTGTGCTCCACGGTAAAGGGGAGCAGGGACGGTGACTTACGATTGAATTAGTTTGTAATGGTGGCATACTTGCGCAGCATCTACCACGCTCTCTATTCCCCACGCTCCGTCGGGACCCGACGCCAAGACAGAGTCTAGAAGGCAAGGGACGGGGAGGGCGCAGGGTGGGCATGATCGAGCCCGCACCCGCCTACCGATTCTGCCACCGCACCCCGAAATGTTGACATTTGTTATGGTGCGAAATCCGATAACGCCTGCCAGAATCCGACATACCCCCGTATTTGGTCTAGCGCCTCTACCAAGTGGCCCATTTGTTGGGGCACAGTCACTTCATCCATCCGTGCAACGACTTCCACCCTCCATGCTTGACGAGCGAAAAAACGTCCGATCACCTAGCCGTAAGAGTCATGGTTATCCTCATCAATAACTTTCAAGAGAGTGACTTCTGTCGTCTTACGCACACCGTCTTCTATTTATTAAGGTCCATAGATACGAATATGCAGTGGCATGATAGGGATGGAGCACTGAAAGACGTCAACCGCAGTGACATTCCCGTCCTACTGAATCATTCCGCAACGGTCGATATTATGGATATTAACCACCGTCATTTCGAGACGGATCGGCACCAAGTTACAACAACAGACACGGCGAATCATCCAAATGTACTAATGTTCGGAAGGAATTTCCTTTGTTGTGAAGGGGCCGCCGGTGTATGGAAAAACCGGGGTTAGATCAAGTTCAAATTACAGGTGGATGTTATTCCCGCAATTATATGATAGCTGGGATTGCCAATATACGTTCAAACAGGTAGGCGGGTTCTTAATCATACAGCCAGATTACACTCTGCCACTGTTATCTGAATTTGGCTGATAATCCAAGTCCTTTGCTTTAGTTCCTTGTATGCTTTCTGGAATGATTGCCTTGACGTCTTCATTCCTCAGTTACTGTCACGTACAGTACCTGTGCTAACTCATGAAATGTCACGAATTAACACAGGTTAACGCCTTTAACGCAAAATCGGTAAACACTACGGCTCCCAAAGTCTGATAGCGGAAAATAAACGATGTGCCAAAGAAATAAAGCAAAGTTTGGTTAAGAAAATATTATTTACTGAGATAAAAATAAATAATTTTCGACAAAAGTCACATTTTCGAGAAACGCCTATATTACAACTAAGTTAATAAAGGCTACGTATGAGGACGTATAAAGGAGGAGGGCGCATAAAAGGTCAAAAATAATTAAGGACAGAAACAGATACAAAAAATTAGTACTTTGTAGATTGTCCATTCGAATTAATAACAGCAGAAAGTCTGTCCGACATAGACATGACAAGGTTATCTATGGTGGATTGTAAAATGTAATTATTGAGTATGAAATCCAATTTTTCCTGCATTGAAAGAGTCTTCTTAGCTTTGTGCCAATTTCTTTTGACTATTCCAAAAAGATTTTCGATTGGATTAAGGTCGGGATTGTTCGCCGGGATGAAAATGGATTGGAGGCCAATTGCGGAGAGCGTGGTTGTTGTCTAAAATGTTAGATTATGTTTGCAAGCGGCATCAAATTCGTACCTCTTTAGAGCGGTGGACAGGTGCATTGTCCTGCAAAATAACAGTATCCATTCGGCGCCGACTTATGCCGTTGTAGCCGAAAGCATCCTTGACAATTGCAATGAACACCTTGCTGTTGATGTTGTCGGATGTTGACCGCCAGACAGGCCGCTCACCGAATTTAATCGCCATCCAAACCATCATCCGCCGAAAGTTCTTGAATGTTGCCGTCGGCGTAGTATGTTCTCTTGGGAAGTTCTTTCCACATATGACAGTTTGGAGCGACTTCGTAGGCTTGTCTAAAAATAGAACCTCATCGCAGAAGAAAATGCTCTTCCAAAATGAAGATCTGTATTCAATATAATTCTTAGCAAATAAAAGCCGTTCTCTAATTAGTTTTCTACTTAAATATGGCTTAATCATGGCCTTCCGCCGCTGCAGTTCAAATTCCTTCATCCTTTTTCTAATGATGTTCATAGAAAACATCGGCAGATGTTCCCGCTGAATGGCCTCAATGGGCATGTAATGAAACTTTTTTAATGTACGACGAATAAAATCGTCGTCTTGCTTACTTGTGGACCATTTTGGTCCCCCTATCTTATTTCTAGGAACAGTTTTATCATTAATAATGCGCCACAGAGTGACCTTGCTAATATTGAAAATATTAGCTAACGACTCAAGCGGGATTCCTTCCGCCGCTAATTTTCGAATGCGCTGGAAGTCAACTTCGGATAAGTATTGTTTAGACATAGTTATCGTTTGGCGTGGCAGAGCAAAGTGACGGCATGTCGCGCGAACTCAATATATATTCGTTTACGACACGCATTTTCAGTCTGGTAAAACAATCACACTGATAAACTTTTTTATTTCGGTATTTTGAAACATAAAACTTTACGAATTTGTAAAATAGAATTTTTAGATAAAGAATCGCACGTTATTTCCTGAACACAATAAGAAATAATTTATCTGCATTTCCCTGATTTTGTTGATATTGAAATTTAATTTTTTCTTTTTGTTCGAAAGTTTATCAAAAAATTTCGTCCTTTTATTAATCTTCTTAAACAGATTAATAAGGTTACACAAAGAATTTCCATCCGAAAGCTTTAATAGCGTAGGAAACTGCTTGAATATCAGGAATCCTCCGATTTCGCCTTAATCCGGCCCGTTTTCTATTTAATATACAGATCCGTATCAAACTTTCCTTCAGCAAACGGTCTTTTCGTCCTTATTTCAACCAAATAAACACAAATAACGACACCGAAAATGCACTACATTGTCCACTATAATTTTGACCTCGGCATTTCATGAGTTAGCACAGGTACTGTACATACCGGCGAGGTTTAATCAGTATGCGGATAGTATAGCTAAAGGAACACATTCTGAAGTTTGAACAGGGGATGGCATGGACTCCCATTTGTTCAGCGTTAGCGGGCCTGCTATCTATTCAGAACAGCTCCCGGATCTACCGCAGATGCACTGTGGGCATCAGTGACGCATCAAAGGAGGAGGACAACGCGAGTCAACGGTTGTTCTCGACGAATCGTCGATGCAGCAGCTGTTTCCACTACTGTTGGAGATCCTGAACGGAAGGTTTTTACCATGAGCGAATCTCATTTTCCTCACTTAGTCCCTTTAGTACGACAACGCCATACGCATGTTTAGACACATGCATATGGCAAAAGTTATTGTTTGGAGATTTTTGTGACCTAATTGACTTAGGATGCAACAGCCTCTTCCTTCTTAGTCAGCGTGTGTCTGTACTAGGTGTTCCATTGTCTGATTGGCAGCCTGCATTCAGCATGACTCCTGACTTCAAAGCACTCCTGTAAGCCGTGTTCCCGACTTATGGGTTAGGAATTAGTTCGACCATTATCTGCACCAACATTGTTGATGATGCTATTATGGGCAATGACAGTAACGGACAAAATTTTGTTGGGGCGGGTTGCTTGAACACAATGGTAGATAGGTTTTCCCAGTCTTGCAGCGGTGCATTTGAAAGCTGAGCGAATTCAAGTTCTTTGTGCGCCGAACAATTTATTACCTCTGACTTGCTTTGGCCTCTACTGGCACTGATTGGGGTTGCGAAATGTATCCACTACTGACTCCCTAGCCTACCTTAACGTCAATCAGTGGCGTTGAAGTAATCGCCTAGTCCGAATGCAACTATTAAATCTGGGCTTATAGACGCGTTTTTAGCTGCTCCTGAATCCTTGAGGTGGCACGGACAACAAGATATCTGCATTTTTACGTGGCTACTTAATTTATTTGAGAACTTGTGACCTTCTGAATTTCTAGGGTTTCCGCGATTCCTTTTGCGATCTTCACTGGCTTTTGTGCAGGGCGGCAGAGAAAAGTGTTTGGAGAATGCATGGATTGTCGTTTAAACAAACTTTCTGCGAGTTATGATGGTAGCTCCCTGAACAGCATTTGTTTAGCTCAGATATCGCCAGCCTTCGCGGACGATAGAGTAATTTTTATTTTACGTCTGGGATATTTTTGGTACCCAGAGTATTACGGTATCCACAGGCGTGTATTGGAATTCCATTGCAATTTGGCATATATCTGGCGGACGGATGCAAATGCAGATTAATGGCAATGTAATCGGCTCCCAGGTGCTCATCGGGACTGTATATGTTATCAGATGTGCAGGATGCACAAACAGAAGAATGCACACAACAGTAATGTATGCAAGCGCGTGCAAAGTGCTTTCCGAAGCAGCACAATTAGTACTAGTCCGCTAAGACACATGCAGGAGGTGGGTTACCTCATGAAATGTCAACCGAAACTCCGAAATGCGTTTTCGCTTCGAAAGGATTAATGTAGTTGGGTTGTAAAACTAGTCAGCCTACAACATAATTCTATAATAGGTCAGATACTTCATGATGCCGGCTTTCGAATGTACTTCCTTCCGACTGCATGCAAAAACTACACTCCGTAAAAACGACTACTTAAGTAGTAGGAATTGATTTTGATGCCTCTAAATTTCCATTTATTTTTCATGGAAAACATTCATAAAACATTTTTTTGCTCATAAGTTAGAAAATTACGTCTTTTTCCAATCTTGTACTCGAAGGAGGAATATAATTTGGTTTTAAAAAATTTCCAATTGTGAGACTTTGAATACCGTGAAATGGCCGTTCGTAAATCGTCATGTCTCCTCAGTTACCAATGCGACATGTAAAGTTAACAATGTGGGTCAAATCCACTGCTAAATTTTATGTACCCTATATAGTCGCCCGTTACTACCGTAGAGAAATGTGTGGTTTTCCGTACGCGGAATATATACGGCTTGTAGTTTCGAAACCCTGAATCCAAGTGTAACGGTAGAGCGGGTCCAAAATTATTTGGGTATTGGAAAGGTTTTGAAAACCAAATTATACCCTTCGTCCGAGTATAACATTGGAAGAAGATGTAGTTGCTTACTGAATGAGCAAAGAATGAATATTTTTGTGTAGGTTTTTATGAAATATAAATGGACATTTAGGGGCATCAAAATCCATTCCTGCTAATTAAGTAGTCGTTTTCTTACGGAGTGTAGTTTTTGCATGCAGTCGGAAGGAAGTTCATTCGAAAGCCGGCATCATGAAGTAACTGAAATATTATAGAATTATGCTGCAGGCTGACTAGTTTTACACGCTTACTGCATTAATCTTTTTGAAACGAAAACGCATTTCGGAATTTCGGTTGATATTTCATGAGTTAGCCCACCTACTGTGTTTTCAGAAATATGTATGGCGTCGGTTCAATTTTGGGTAGATTTTCAAAGGACGATCGCATATACTGTAACCGGTCGCGTGTATGTCGCGGGATTTCCTTTGAAACTAAGACTTGGAATAAAGTTGCTTCGGGTAAATTGCATAGCGTAATGGAATATGAGTGTTTGTAAGTGGGACTAACGAAGCAAATAGAAAATATCTGTTAGATTTGCGGAGAAATTACTAGTTGGATTATTTTGCAAAGCGAACGTGTTAGCTCATACATTCGTTGTATAAGCACATGAGGCCATCGACGTTTGATGCAGTATATGAGTTGGGTATATGCATATGGCAAACATGCAGTTAATGTCTATGTCGGGTGTACGGCATAATACGTTTGCCACATACATTCCATACTACTTGTAGTACTACCTGTTTGTAGAATGGACATTACATGTTTATTCCACTGCAGCTGATTGACTCCGACTAAAATGTCCATTGAGATTTCGGGTTTAACCGTAAAACGTAATGTCCTGGAGGCCTAACTTCGTGTCCTGCACTGAATAATTTTTGAAAATATTCGCTAGATACGTCTCTGGAGTTCATATACCTAAAAGGGCATGGAGAATGCTGGGGCACCCACTGAAGAGCCGAACAACTCGGACATGTGTAACGCAACGGCAGAATGTCGGCGAAACACGTGTCTGGGCTTTTAGTTAGAACCTATGTCGGGATTACGGTATAATACGTTTGTCATATACATGTCATACTACTCGTAATACTACTTGTTTGTAGAATGGACATTACAGGGTTGTTCAGCAGTATTTGATTGTCTTCGACTCACATGTTCATTGGAATTTCGAGTCTGACCGTAAAATGTCATGTCCCGGAGACTTAACTTTTGTCCTGTATGGAATAATTTCTGAAATTATTCGTTTAAAATACATATATGTATAAATATGAAAAAGGCAAACCTCTTCCTTTTTCATTATATCGTCTCGGATTGCATACCACCCCTGCTCTACGACATACATATCTATCGATATGAATAAAGATTCGAGGTCCAGATATTGTGTTGCGTCCATCATCCCCCGAAGAAGACGAAGAAGAAGAGAAGGCGAATTCATGGACCAAATTATATTTGAAGTGCCGTTTCAGAAACCCTCTCGTTTCCATCATCAGAGTAGTGTGTTGGTTGTTCCTGCTGGCCTTGATTGCTTCAGCCTTGATACCTGCCTGCTATTATATCCGTGCTTGAGGCGCGAAGTATGACCTGCGCTTTCGCTGCGATTAGCGTTGACCTCGCTACTATTAACCGCCGGTGGGCTCCTGCCAGTTTTGACCCCTTTGCGGCCGTCTTGATTTTTCGCGAACCAACATGCTTGTTGGCCTCCCCCTCGTCACTCAATGGACTGATCAATTGTTGGGGCTCACGTGAGTTAATCTCAGCCTCGTGGGCGTCGCGATGAGGTGGCGTCCCATGCTGGTCACATAACCCCCGGCCGACTT